AATGTGTTGAATTTCAAAGCTCAAAGCTAGTTGACCCCAAAGGGAGGTTGGGGGTGGGAAGGAAGTCTGGCTCACACATAACAGCAAGCCATATAGTGGTTTGGTGGTTTCAGGCTTCCAGTGATGAGTAAACTCACCCCTTGTGGCTTAATATTATGTGTGAATTACATCTAACTTTTAAACCATAATTTAAAATCCTGGGTTGGTGTAATGTGCAGGCACACTGACTGAGTTCACAAGAGATGTTAAACCTGTGTTTCTGAAACTCACTGAAATTGTGGACCACTAAATAAATGTCAAGACCACCCAGTTAAACAAGCACACCTTCCATGGGTTTTTGTCTTCAAGAGCATATTTTTCAATGACTAAGGTAGTTGATCTGGGTATTTCTTCTCATACCCTCCTTTTTAAAAGACCTTTTAAAACTAAACATCTATCAAAAAGGTCCGGCTTATGTCCAATGATTTATTCTCCCCCACTTCTGGAAATTGTAGTTACCCCCAATTTCTGTTCCCCAAAGAAAGCTTAGATCCATCCTGCCTTCCCTTGACCCCAAACCTACCAGGATCTTCTGCAACTGGTCTACAGAATGGTTGGCCACACTCTTCCCATTGATCTCCAGAATCTCATCTCCCACACGAAGGAAACCTGCCAAGGTAGGACACACAGAACAGTGATGCGTCAGGGGAAAATAAGGCATGGTTGGCCAGAACAATGCCAAGAACACCAGATGACAGCAGCTCCTGGTCTGCAAAAATGGCTCTCCTCTTACATCAGGGGTCGATGGGCTCCTTTGCCAAAGCTCATAAAAATTAATTGTCCAATGTTAAGGGCAGGATTGCTGGACATCAGGAACCCTTTGAGAGAGGAAACTGTAGCAGAAACTATGCAATAGGTTTACGAGTTAAAAATGCAAAACAGTTTTCCTCCAAACTGCAGGAAAGAAGTAGGGAATCCTAGTCCCACATGTATGATATCCCTAACTATTAGTGGTCTTCAACTGCCCTTCAGAGATGTCAAGGCAACCTCTAGCAAGCTAAAACTTGCCTACCCATCTTATGAAAACATTTTTAGATGGCTGCTTAGAAAGCAGATGGGATCTGAGACGGGGATTGCTGTGTTAGCTTCTGACTGCCCCCTTCCTCCAACGTGAGGACCCCTTGTAGAGCTGAGGCTCTCAGACTCGGCTGCTTAAAAGAGGAAAAGGGGATGCAGTTATGCATTCACTCTGCAGTTGGAGAGGTTATCAAAAAGGCAGGCGGTTCCTAGAATAGTTTTCCAGGCCTGATTCTATTTACCTTGCCTGTGAATCATGCCCCCGTGAAGGATCCGGGCCACTATGCAGCTTTTCTTCTCGTTCAGCTTCAGGGTGATACCCTGGAACAGACAGGGAAGTATGTGACAACCTGGACTGAGATTTTCATCTTCCTTTCCCCTCCCTCTCTGCTTTTCCTTCTGTGCTGTATCTTAACCCCCCCCCCCCCCAAGTAGCTTTAGAGCAAGATCTAAATTATGTCAGCTGCTCAGAGGGCCTTTGGGACTGAAATGCAGTATTATTTTTTTTTAAGGAACATTATTAAATTTCAACAAAGAGTAAAATACCAGGAAATAGAGAAAAAAGGGTTAAAAAGAAAAGATCAGAAAAGGATGAAATTTAAAGTACGAAAAAGAAAAAGGGGAAAGGGAAAAAAAGGATAATGCACTGCTTAAATAAACCAGGAACTATACACCACCAAGGCTTGGCATCTCTGAAGAAGTAATTTTCATTAGTCATATTCCATTTGGTTTAACTCTATCCCCATTCCTTCTCACCTTCATAAAGCTGCCAGATATTGCAGAACAAAAGAGGAAACTCCTTCTATCCTTCTAAAGTACTATTTTTGAGGCAAGCTCTTTGACCAAAGAAACAATCCATTATTAGTTTAGAGCTGACCCACTCCTTTCTCACTTGTTGCAATTGTTTGTCTATAGCACTGTTTCTCAACCTTGGCAAGTTTAAGATGGGTGGACTTCAACTCCCCACTTTTCCCCGACACAGCCGCTGACGTAAAAAATCTTGGTTGGGTGAAGGACCCCTTGTTTAAATATCGATGGATAGGAGAAAGATATTG